CTATTTTTAAAGACATGAATTTTAAAATAAAATAAAAATGAAAACTTAGTGGTATTCCTCACATAAGAAATCGAATCTTTAGACAGTATTTTTTTAAAAATTTTCCATTAGTTCGAAGTATTAATACCGCAAAGTATCTCAGTGTTACTGGGGCTAAAACTACCCGCTTTATTTATTATTTACTACATTGAATTGTCGTTATTTGATCAATCGTATTGTTTGTTTACGCATTTGACCGCAGGATTTGAAAGAACTTCTGTTAAAATCGATCGGCATCAGATTTCTTTTGTGTCCTAATTCGATTCCAACAATCACTTCCTTGTGATACAGTTAGATAGTTACCTTTCTACTCAAAGAATCATTTGACCCAATTTCGTTTTACATGTTATAAATACTTTGTTGATTTTACTTGACCGCAAGAACATTATCTACGTATATCAATATTTCATATACCAATCCCGCAAAGAATTTTATTGTAGGGATAGGTGGGTATTAAAATTGTATTGATGACCAATGCAAATTGATTGTAATTGTAATTCTTTGATTTTATAATTTCTTATTTGTTATCATTAAAGATACATATTTGCATGAAAAGAAAATAAAATTGAGATATGTAACAATCTTATTGGTTGATATTTTATTGTTATTGCGAGAGTCTTATCAGGGCGAAAGTCAATTACACGTAGACATTTATCTGAACTTTCGAAGAAGAAATGCTTATTTTTTTTATTTTACCCAATCGAATGTTTTTTTCCTTTTTGGAATCGAAGGTGAAAGTACCTTCTTTTCATTTCTTAAAGACTGGTGCAATCAGGTAAAAATCATCATAATACTTCTCTTATGTTTCTGTTTTATGTTTCTGTGAAGAAGGGCCATTATATCGTATAAGGTTGTCTATATCTCTTTAAGAATGTGTGGAGAATACCTGTAGGATTAGAATTGCAACATATCAGTGAAAAATCCATGATACAATTAGGTAACAATCTTCATAAGACTTCTCTTACGTTTCTGCTTACGTTTGTATGAAGAAGGGCCATTGTATCGTATAAGTTTGTCTATATCTCTTTAAGAATGTGTGGAGAATATCTGTAGGATTAGAATTGCAACATATCGGTGAAAAATCCGTGGTGCAATCAGGTAAAAATCTTCATAAGACTTCTCCTATGTTTCTGCTTTATGTTTGTATGAAGAAGGGCCATTATATC